ATAACAAGCTTACAAACACAAACATTATTAATTTGTAAAGCTCTTACTTGGCCTTTCAGCGACATCTGACTTGGCCAATCTGTTCTTGGACCATTCTCTGTTTTTGAGATTAAGTATCAAGTTCTGATTTTCTTCTTATCTCTGCTCACTTGTGAGCAATTTTTGTCTGGCAAGCCTAAAGTGGCCTGGTGACATTCCAGTGGCAGTGTATAGATCTATTTTCCACCTGCCTTAACTTGAACAGGCTCATTTCACTTCATTTATTCATTCAATACAGAATGTTATTGATAGCTGACTATGTGCCAGAATGGTTGTGTGCAGTACTATACACTGGATTGGCAGGATCCCAGAGAGCCACTTAGATAATTTCAGGTAATGCTAAGTGCTGCAGAAAATATAAATAAAATAGTCAGAATGTGAGTTAAGGGGAGGGGTGATGTACTTGTGCTGGAAAAACCAAGACAGAAGCCCTGAGCAGAAGGCCTTTTGAGTTAAGCTTTGGAGAACAAAATGGAGCTAGCCGTTCTAACATGCCAGCATCTGAGATCAGGAGATCCAGGACTTTTATGAGTTCAAGGAACATGAAGAAGCCCAATTATGATAGAACAGTAGCTCCTGAAGATTTTAATGTCCTAATCCCTAGAATCTTTGTGTTCCTTACATGGCAGAAGGAACTTTGCCGATGTGATTAAATTTAGGATTTTTGAGAAGGGAAGATTATCTTGGATTATGCAGGCACATCCCATGTAATCACAGGAGTCCTTGCAAATGGGAAGCAGGGCAGGGGTTCAGAGTCATGAAAGTAGTTGTGAGGGCGGAAGTAGAGATTGCAATCATGTGATCTGAAGACTCAGGAAGAGACTAGGAGCCAAGAAATGCAGATGATCGCTTATATTTTGACATATCCTTCTAGTCCATTTTCTAAGTGTTTAATACTTTTAAGGTAATTGGTCTCATACTTTATGTCCTGTTTTGCAAACTTTTCTACTCAGTGATATATCCTGGATGTTTTTCTATGTCATTATATATTTGTGGATGATCATTAAATACATAGTATTCTTAACCTCGATGAATAATAATTTATTCACTAATCCCTTATCTTAGAATGTGCAAGCACTTCTCTTTCATAAGTTGGTACTTAGAAAATTCAAATAGACAAAACTTTTTATTCACTATTATTTCCTTGGGACAATTTTTGCTAAAATCAAACAGGAATATTTGATTATTGCCCCCCAATAAGATTATACTGATTTATTTATATCAGCAATATTTGTAAAGACCCATTTTTCCACTCTCTAACCAATATTGAATTTATAACTTTAAAACTTTTTGATAAGAAATTGTACCCTCACATTTATGGCTTCTTTCCTTTGTGACTCACTGAACGTGGCCTTTGCCTTCTTGTCTTGTATTTTATAATATATGCATATTTTCTTCCCGAGCTATTTGAAGATACATCCCACACAACATGGCCCATACCTCTGCACATTTCAGCCTGCCTTTCCTCAGGAAAGTGGAATTTTACATAACCACCGTGGAGTCTTCAGTGTCATAAATCAACATGTAGTTCTTTAATCTGCCAAAAATATTTCAGTTTCATCGATTGACCCAATGGTGTCCTCTGTAGCATTTTCTCCTTTAGTGCAGGATCCAGTGTAGGGTCAGTCTGCTTGTATCTCTCTTCAACCTTCTTTATCAGATAAACTGTCTTCCCACAGACTGTCTTTGTCTTTTTATGACCTTGACATTTTTGAAGAATGCAGATCTCCTCATGCTTTTTTAAAATAAAAGTTTTCCTCATTTTTTAATTGGTCTGTTTCCCGTGATTGGATCCCGTGTTTCTCAACTAGAAAACCAAATAGGTGGTTTTGGCTCCTTAGCCATATGGTTCTTCACTGGAGTGAACTGACCACAGAGGAGTCACTAACATGCATGGGGACAGGAGTGTGATTACCCCCAACCCAGTGCAGTCAGGTGCATATATTCCCTTCCTACAGGGGAGAGGACTTGGGGTGAGGAAGTTTGAGGGGTCATCAGTGATTTTAGGTGAATGAATGGGTCCAGTGCTCAGACAGTATAGAACATGATTTGAGGGGAAATTGAATGGGTCTGGGAAATGGGAAATAGCTTGTGACAGAATCTGTCCAGGTATGGTTTCCTTCCTGAAGATGCACATTTAGTTAGTGAAACTCAAGGAAGGGACCAGAGGTGATTCTTTTCTTCTTTGGCAGGTCCGGTCTTTAAGTGGAAAAGGCCACCTCAGAATAAAGCCTCTTCCAGCACCTGCTGCTCTCCAAGGGTCTTGAATTTAAAATAACCAGCATACAGGGGTGCCATTTTTTGGTGGTATTATTTTATGAGCCCCAACAATGGTAATGTGTCTTTCTCGGTGCATCACATCTGAAGACCTGATAATCATCTTCCCCACTGGTAATTTAGATCTTCTGGTCCAAGTATCGCTCAGTTTTTCTAGTATGTAATTAATGATGTGGGAGAAGATTGTTCTTCCCCTATAGTGAATAACAATCCTAGAAGAAACATTTTAAATGCATGAAAACACTATTCATCAAAATTTATTTGTAGATATAAGATCCATTAATGCTTTTTCCCTGTTCAGTCCTTACTATAGCCAGTGGTTGCTGAATGGTGATTTTCCAGTTTCTAACCATCTGCCTCGTGTTAGCTCTCAGTATTTTGCTCTAAGCAGGTGCCTCCTTCTTCCATTCATGTGTCCACTTGTTTTGTAGATTTGTTAAATCCTGATTTTTTAAATTAAAAAAAAAAAAGGGCTGGTGATGTGGCTCAAGCGGTAGCGCGCTCGCCTGGCATGCGTGTGGCCCGGGTTCAATCCTCAGCACCACATACAAACAAAGATGCTGTGTCCGCCAAAAGCTAAAAAAAAATATATTAAAAATTCTCTCTAAAAAAAAAAAACAGCGGAATGCATTACAATTCTTATTATATGTATCCAACACAACTTTTCATATCTCTGGTTGTATATAAAGTATGTTAACCTAATCAACAAATGGGCCAAGGACCTGAACAGACACTTCTCAGAAGAGGATATACAATCAATCAACAATATTTGAAAAAATGTTCATCATCTCTAGCAATCCTGTTTTTAATGGTTGATAATTCAATTCCTTGCTGTGTGGCTTTGGTACTGAGATTATCCTAGGAATAGCTAGTGGGAATTTCTTCAAGCTAGCTTCTCTGGTATTGGAACATGGTCCCATATCTTTTTAAAGTATTTTTTTACTTTCTGGCATAACAAGATGTTTGAATGTACCTTCCCTGTCCCACCCTTACAATCTTCCATTTCACTGAGTAGTCCTGGCTCTTGAATGTGTTCCTGTGCTACCTGGCTATGGTGATGATGTCCATTCCTATCAAATTGTATGTTTTAAAGATATGCAGTTTGTTTTATGTAAAAGCAACACCTTAAAAGAACCATCTTACAAAAAGGGTACAATGGAGGAAATAGAATATTTTAAGGCATTAAAATAAAAGAAAAATTAAAATATAGTTTTGGGGGCATATAACATCAAAAACAATCAGAGTAATTACCACAAAGTTCATGAGAATGGTTACTTTTAGGGAAGAGGTGGCTGCCCATGATTGGGCCCATTATCATGAAGCACTGCTAGAGTAGTAGGTAAGGTTTTATTTTTTGGCATGGATAACAGATACCAGAGTGTCTCCTTATAATAATTCACCACATTATATATTTGTTTTATGCAATTTTCTTACAGCTTAATGTATTTTATAATAAAAGGTTTAAAAACAAATGAATGCTATATATGTTCATGATGATTTTTATATATAATTTTCTAGAAATTAAAATCATATTTCAAGTAGGGCAGATCCATTTATAATCTAATAGATTTTATGACACAGTTTATTAGCTATTTTGAAAATTCAGAAAATGATTCAGCATAGTTAATGAGCAGTCTAAATAAATTTAAACTGAAATGCTAGTCTTTCTTAATGTTTTGATTGTTGCTATAAAACCCAATCATATAAGTTAAAAACAAATGTTTATTTAAGATTTAAAATTTCCATTTTGTTCTTTTTAATAGTTTTTATTTCTCTGCTGAAATTTCTCATCTTTTCATTAGTTACAGATTTTCCTTTATGTCTTTGAGCAGAGTTATAATTGCTCCTTTAAAGTCTTTGTCTGTTAATTTCAATATCTGAGTCATCACAGAGTCAGTCTATTAACTATTTTTCTTTTGAGAATGAGTCACACTTTTCTGTTTCTTTATATGTTAAGTAATTTTTTACTATAGTCTGGACATTGTGAATATTATAGTGATTCTGGATTCTATTATATTCCTCCCCCAAAAAATAGTTAGTGGTGGGGTGGTGCTTTCAGTAGCCTGTTCCCTTGGTTTCAAACTACAGCTCTGTCTCTGGGAAGCAGCCCCATCTCATGTCAGCTGTTTTAACTGGGCTGCTTGGAATCTGCCCTGTGCAGAGCTCAGCAGAATTTACATATAGTAAATTCTCCCTCTCTGGAGCCTCCTTCATTTTCCAGCAGCTGTGGTTATTCAAACACTGTGCTCTGGTTCTTGAGGCTAGAAAGACTGGCATTTTCTACCAGGGTTTTAATTCCACCTGGTGCATCCTGGGTCCTGCCCTGGGACACAGCCTGAGCCTATACTGTCCCCTCATCCCAGTGCCAGCACTCTTCCATCGTCTGTTCTTAATAGAACCAGTCCTTTCCAGTCCCTTTACCTAGGGGGTTCTTTGTTCAGATTCTATTTTGATTAGTTTTGTCCAGAGTTCATTATTTTTATTGAAATATAGACTTGTCTGATAGAAGTTAATTTAGCCATTAGAAAAGTAGATTAAATGCTTATTTCTTTAAAGACATAATAATATGAAGATCTTAAGAAATTCTTTTTGTGGATGAGTAAAAATAATGATAGCCAAAAATGCTTGCACTTTATTTATAACATACTACATTTTAACTAATTTAAAATATTTTATTACTTTAGGAATAAATCTAATGAAGCTGATGAATGTCAAAGAGAACTAAGGAAACTGAAGTTTGAATCCATTATTTCTGAATCACGGTATACACTGCAAACTTTTAATTGATATTTTTATAATTAAATTTGAAAACATTATTTAAAATGGACTTATCTTTTCTTCTTAGTTGTTTACATGTGTCATACCTAACCCAGTGTTATCGTGTCCTATGATTGTTCCTTGATTTTGCCTCTACATAGAGGGGAAAGCTCAAGATCACAAAGCTATCATGTTCTAAATATCTTTACTTTTTAAGGTTACAGTTACAGTCTCTAATTTCACATGAGCTTTCCATATACCTTTGATAAATATAAAAACATACTGTCTATGGAGCTGGGGTTATGGCTCAGTAGTAGAGTGCTTGCCTAGCAAGTAAGAGGCATGGGGTTTGACCCTCAGCACCACATAAAAATAAAAGAAAAGAAAAATGTTATCATAAGAAAAACAAAACACTATCTAATACATGCTGGTGAGATTTTTTAAATTTTTTCGGTTCCTTTTTAGGCACACTAGGCTGCTTAAAGAAAAAGAAGACTCTTTAATGACTTGTCAACAAATATATAAAGCTTTACAGGAAGAGCTGACTGCAAAAGAAAGGCAAGAAGAAGACACAAAGAGAATAATTAACCTCTCAGAAAGTGAGTTAGAGATAACCAAAGTTCTTCTGAATCAGACAAGACAAGAGGTCACAACGCTGAAAAATGAAAGGTGCAGTTTCTTACAAAGCTCTTTTATCTTTAAATCAGTGTCCGTATATATTTGAAACACCATTATCCTACATATTTGTAACAGTGAAGTCACAGGACTAAAGACACATTTTTCTGCAAGGTCACTGCATTTCACTATCTCATTTTACAAGTGATTACACTGAATCCCAAGTCAGTTAATGACGTGGTTAACGGCCTCATAGTTTAGTAAAAGTAGGGATGGAATTCAAGTCTCATTTGGTGTCAGATTAAAAGAAAAAAAAATCACATTCCACTAAATTTCACCTGGGCCAACCGTTGGTAAATTCTATCATTTTCAACAGAAAAAGAAAAAATCTTTTTAATCACATTATTTGTCTTGGTTTCTGAAGTGCTGGTACTGGTCCCAGGGCCTCAGCATGCTGGGCAAGAGCTTCATGTCACTTCTTTGCCCACCTTTCTTCCCTCCTTATCTGTCACCTTTTTTTTTTTTTTTTTTTTTTGAGAGCATACCACAAGCAAATGTACCTCCTTAGTGATACTGATGATACTGAGAAGCATGTTGGTCCAGCCTTTCAAGATATTTTTGTCCAGTTAATTTGCTTTAGATTATTAAAACTGCTTTCTTCCTTCCTTGTTTTACCTTGTGTGTCTTCATTCATTCTTTCTGAATCTTTTTGTTTCAATTGCATATCTGCAAAGGCTTTTTGTTGCTGTTAGTTGTGGTGGTTTTCAAATCTGGGAATCTTTAATGTTAAGAGTTTATCCCATTCACATTTATTAATAATTATTATATTCCAGAAGAACCCAAATTCTATAAGAGCAGGAATTTTTGTTTTGTATTTTTCTCTGTAGCAGAAAGTACATGATAAGCCATTTGTTTTTCATTGTTCCTATCATTTTTATCTTTTATCTTCATTTTATTCTATTTATGGGTATAATTTAGAAGACTTATAATTTTTTATTTCTTCTTTAAAATGGCAGATATTTTCTGAGGAAGCATCTGGGGATAGGGCCAGTGAAGTGGGTAGCAGACAGCCTATAATTAGGTAATCAGGTTTCATTTCTTTTCTTTTTAGTTGAAAATGGACACAATACCTATATTTTATTTATTTATTTTTACGCAGTGCTGAGGATCAAACCTAGGGCCTCACACATGCTAGGCAAGTACTCTGCCACTGAGCCCCAGCCCCAGCCCCAGGTAATCAGGTTTCTTGTCTCAGAACTCTTCTCACCAGTGCAGCCATGGGCAGAGTAGCATGAGGACTTTGTAGTTCACAGGCCAAAGTGACTTGGCTTTGGTCCTTCTAGAGATGACTTTGCATCTACTGCCCTTTGACTGAATAAGAGGAACAATCACAGACATTCCTCAAGGTTCTTGCACGAACCTGACTTTCTTCTCTTCACTTTTCCTTCTTTCAGTAAATCCACCCTGTTTTTCAGCTGAGTCAGTTAAGCTTTGATTTGAAGCACCAGTAGGACCTCTAAATAGAGCTGTCCTTAAGAAGTTAGAGGAGAGATGGTCCCTCCAAGAGAAGTAGCTGGACTCAGGAAACACTTTGGACACACTGAGACTTTGCAACATCTAAGAAGATGGACTAGGTCCAGAGCTGTCTGAGAACCTGCTGTGCTACTCTAGAAGCACCACATCCCCCCAGGCTGTGGGGTATACTTGCTCACCAAAGGCCCGAGCCCAGCTTGCTCCCAGCAACAGTGTGTGTTTTTATAAATCCAGATGGTCTCAGATAGGTGCCACTCTTCAGGACAAGGGAGCCCTTACTGAGGTCACAAAATGTGATATTTAGAAGCTAGGTAGCTTCAGAAGAAGAGAGAAACAAACATAAAAAGCCAGAACTAAACCTAGAGGGGGGATAAAAAAAAAAAAAAAACAACTAATAAAAGTTCTGACTTGAAAGAGGAAGGGAAATAGGGACCAGGAAGCAGTTAATCCATTCATACAGGCCTGTTGAACTATGCGCGGCTTTCTCCTACCCACAAAGGATTGGGTCTCTGAGGGACATGCAAGTCTACAGGTAGTGATGGTCATGGACACCTTGGGGCTGCTGAGAACCTCGTTTTGGATGGGGAGGACGTCAGAGAGGTTCAGCGTAGTGCTGGAGAAGTGTGGCAGCTCTTGTGTGGGGGACAGAGGTCTTTGAGGCTCAAGTGTGTTCTCAATTCTCTATAACAGACTTACATATAAAAGGACATGTCATAAGAACATGTGTTTTTGTCTTCTGTCATTTTTTTAATAGAAAACTATAAACCCTCTCCCCAGAAAAATACATATAGGGGCTGGGGATGTGGCTCAAGCGGTAGGGGGCTGGGGATGTGGCTCAAGCAGTAGCGCGCTTGCCTGGCATGCGTGCAGCCCGGGTTCAATCCTCAGCACCACATACCAACAAAGATGTTGTGTCTGCCGAGAACTAAAAAAAAATAAATAAATATTAAAAATTCTCTCTCTCTCCTCTCTCACTCTCTCTTAAAAAAAAAAGAAAAATACATATAAAATCCAGCAGATTTTTTCAGGGTGTTCTTTCCCTTCATGTGGCATGACCCTATGACTAAACATACCTGCTTCCTCCTTCTTTTTCCCTCCTTCCCTGCCCCACTCCTTTCCTCCATCCCTCCTGTTTTCTTTCCTTCTCCCTCACCTTCATTCCTCCCCAGCTGTCTCACATATAGTCAACACATTCAGCAGCCTTCGGGACATTGTCTTATCTTGTCCACACACTGCCCAGGTGAGATGCCCTACACCGTTGTGTGGGGCCAGCAGCAGGGCTAAGGGGCCTGAACATCAGCCTGGACTCTGCACTTCAGGCAACTTGCCACAGAGGAAGGGACTTATTTCCTTGGAAAAGCATGCCATCTTTCCTTGCCAACCCCTGTGTCCACAGATGTACCCCCAGACAGAGAGAGCACTTTTTCTAATTCACCAGCCCAGAAGATAAGCCACTTTCATATTTGCACAAAGGCACTGGCTAGCAGAGCTGTGACCCTGACCTCTGACACAGGAGTCATTGTGTACATGTTATAGATGAGGACGCTAAGGTCAACTGAGGCTACGTTCTGACTCAGGGTCCCATATTTGGCAAAGACAGGAACAAGCTCTATCGTGTGTGACCTTATAACTCGAGTTCTCTTCTCTCTGGTTTGCACAACTTTTCTTGAAAAGCTGTTTTCTCAGTTACTCTCCATGTGACTACTGGTTCTCAGCCAGGTTGTAACACTAAGTCTCCAGGGGACTCACTGACGTACAAAAGGCAGAAAACCTCGTGTTCCCCTCTGTGTCCCTTCCGATTCTACTTCATGTGCACCCCATCCACTAAGTGAATGTGAGAGGGTGTCCTCCAGCACCTTGACGAATCAGAAGAGATGAGAGCACTTGACGTTGAGTGAGGTGGACACAATGAGCAGTGGATACTATACCTAGTATTAGATATCAGAATGGCTTCCATGATACGAGGGTTCTAGGACGTTGTGGCAGTGTGGCTTCATGTAAGAAGTGTGGTTGTCGAATACAGGCAAGCACCAATTTAAATCCCAGCTTTACCAGCATGAGAGCAGGCAGCTTAACCCTTGTGAGGCTTCTTTTCTTTATATGAAAAATGGTCATATTAACAGCAGCTATCTTTTGTGAATATTAAAGCATCTAGAATCGTGGCCTTCAGATTATAGGTGCTCAGTAGGTATCAATTTCCTCTTTTTCATCTTTCTTGAAGTTGTAATTCCCTTCAAGCATCATATTGTGTTAATTTATACCCTGCACTATCCATGCAGATATTCAGAAAATATCTGTTGAATTCAGTATTATCTGCTTTGCTCATTCTGTTGTAAAAATTAATCCTCAGAGTAATTCAATTTGGATGTTATCCCATTAGTTTAAAACATTATGAAATGAAGCATTCTAAGTGATATTCTAAAATAATAAATCTTAGCAGGATTTTTCCTCCAAAATGCAGCTCTTTCTCTGATACCCTATTCATCAGTAGCTTCAAAACAACTGGTTTGCCAAACTTCTCATCTCAGCCTTTAGTGGAGATAGGAATTGTGACAAAATCAAGATGATCTTTTGATTGACAGTGTGAAGATGTCTTCACTTGTGAAATACAATTTAAAGCTGTTGTTTTGGCAGTATGCTTTGACATTTGTTTGCAGTTACATTTTTTTCTATAATTAAGGGAATCTAGATTCCTGAATGTCTGTAAGAAATGAAATTCTCATTGGTCTCAGAGTTGAAAACTATTTAAAAAAAATACTCTTAACTACAAGTATTTCCCCAATTTTCCTATTGTGTCAACTTCAAAAACTCTATTTAAAAAAAAAAAAAAAAACAAACAACTATTGCACTGGGGATGTAGCTCAGTGGTAAAGCACCCCAGGTTCAATCCCAAGTACCAAACCCCCGCCTCAACAAAAGCCAATCTGGTGGGGCTGGGTATGTGGCTCAAGCGGTAGCGCGCTCGCCTGGCATGCTTGCGGCCCAGGTTCGATCCTCAGCACCACATACAAACAAAGGTGTTGTGTCCGCCAAAAACTAAAAAAAAAATAAATATTAAAAAAATTCTCTCTCTTTCTCTCTCTCTCTCTCTCTCTCTCTCTCTCTCTCTCTCTCTCTCTCTCTCTCTCTCTCTCTCTCTCTCTCACTCTCTCTTTAAAAAAAAAAAAAAGCCAATCTGGTGACATTGCAGGTTAGAAGGTTAGATTCCTCCGAAATCTATGCAGAACATCGGCAGCCAGCTGCCAAGCACCCTGAGCTGGTCTGCCCCTTCGACTCATTTACTACTCAGGCTTCATTTCTTCTAAAACTGTGGGAATGTATAAACATAGTCCTAAGGAGCAACAAGAAAGAACCGCTGTGTCCCCAGAGACAGAAACAATGCCTGACACCCAGCAAACACTCAATAAATATTTGCTGTGTATATTGGTGAGAATGGATTTAATTCTAATCAAACAGCTGGTACCATTGTAAAGCTGGGAGGCCCCCAGCTTCTCTCCAGGCCCAGAGATCTGATTTGCAGC